GCGCCGGGCCTGGCCTCTGGGTAAAGCGTCTCCGCGTTTTGCCGCCGACGCGCGACGGGGTTGCTGCCGCCCCACGTCCCGCTCTCCGCCGGCCCGTCCGACCCGAACTCCTGACTCCTCCCAGACTACAAAACGGGGTGGGGGCGGCCTTTAGCCAGCACCCCGGACGCGAGTCGGCAGCAATCGGGCGGGACTCAGGGGTTCCCGGCTCATCTTTTGCTCGGAGCTGGGGAGCGGGGCTCGGAAGAGCAGAAAGAACCCCCACCCTGGTGGGCGGGGCTGCGCCAGCCTCCCTTACCCCCCCACTCCTGGTCGGATTCTTTGGGTGCTGGGAAGACCGTGGCAGCAGTTAACGAGCCCCAGCGCGCCCCAGTGCGCCCCAGCGCGAGCTGGTGCGGCGGGGACGGTGCTTTAGGCTCGGGTAGCGCTTGCAAAGCCAGGTTCTGGGTGCTTAGGCCCCTACCGCTGAGGGCCCCTGTTGGTGGTGGGGAGTGACAGTAACCTGGGCCCTAGACAGGACACCCAGCCCGACCGATGCACACTCATACCCTTGCGCTCTGAGTGGAGGCCACTCTGCCTTTCACTTGCTGGACGTCCTTCTAGGAGGGTCATAAAAATAAAATGGAAAGTGTACTACAGTGGGTGACAAAGCCTGAAACCAAGTGGCGGTAAGTGCACCGTGTCACACACAGGTAGCCACCCGCCCCAGGTGTCACTGGAACCGCACAGAAATGAGTTTTTGTGGTGGTTTCGCAAATGAGGATAAAGAAGAGTGTCCTGTAAAACAGTCTAAATTGATTTTCTTTCTTTCTAGATAAAGATAGAGAAAATGAAAAAGAGAAAAAATCAGTGGTAAGTCCCCTGATGTGCACGGTCTAGTACAGGATCATATTTTATTCCTTGAGGAGGAGAGTGATGTGCACATAGCAGAAAACACACAGTGGGCGCATCTCCAGGCATAGAAGTCTGCTTCACCCCTGGGCTTCAGACTTCCCTGGGGGCCTCCCTCACCAGTGCCTGTGTGTCTGCACAGCTGTAGCATGGCCTTCAGATAGATTTGGACTACTAGCTTGATTGTAAAAAGACTTGAAAAATGCTTTTTCTTCGTGGGGAAGGTTGATTTCACCTTGGGATGGGGGTGGCCGTCTGGATGTGAGGGAAGGTCTGACCATTGCCTCCTGCAGTGAAGTACGGAGGCTGCCGGTGGTGGGGATCAACGAGAGCCCACAGTGTCCTCAGGCATGGGTTCAGCCACTGCAGATGCCCATTCTGGGTGAGGTTGAAGGTCAAAGGAAGATCGTGTGGCCAGAAGAGCCATATTTCAGCCCCCCTCTAGTCCCAGTCCAGTTCCTTTGGGGAGCGTCTGCCTCTGGCAAGGGCATGGCTTGGCAGGTGGTGGCAGGAGTAGTGCCCTGGCTGGGATCTGCAGCCGCAGGCCTGGCTAGGCCTTGTGGGTACTTGGGGTGACCGGAAGGAGTGAGGTCACATGGAGAAGACTAGCTATTGACATGCTTGCGACTCACAGAAGCTTGTTGAAGCCAGGCATGTGGAGGTGTGTCAGGCATGACAGCACCACGGAAGGGGAAGGGGAGGCCGAGCTGGTCTGGATGGGACCTCTGCATTATTGTACTTCTAATTAGTTGAGCTAGCAGTGATAAATCAAGCCTGTCTTCGGCGCTTTCCGGGAGTGCTTTCCGGCCGTAGGCCATCCCTAGGAAGCGAAGCCTTCCGTGTTAGGGGGCGGTGAATGGCGGTGCCTGTGGGACAGGGCTGTTGACCACAGCGGGGAAGTCAGTCACCGCCACAGAATTAGCAGACGCCAAAGATGGACTGCCAAGAAGCACAGGTGACTGTTTTCAGATAAACAAAGGGCCTAGATTTTCCTTTTTCCCTTTTACAACCCCTCATTTCATCTTCCACATCTTCAGACGCACAGACACACAGCACATTTTCTGACTGTAAACGACGCACAAAGGCTGTAAAAACATTTTCGAAAGCACTCCCCAGTTAGCTTTTTGTTCTCTATACAGACGCTGGGGACTAATACTTCTACCTTGACTAGGAGAAATTATAGATGAGATATCTAAATATTTTCAAAGGATATGTCTGAGTAATTCATTCATTTTACTTTGAAGGACATTTAGCTTATAGACGGTCTGGGTTTCAGGTGTACCGTTTCTCACCTTAGCACCACACCCCTCAGCAGATGCCCTCTCCCCATCTGTTACCCCCACCAGTTCACTGCCCTCTACCAGCTTCTTTTGCCCACCCGCTTCCCTAGTAACCATCCTTCTGTAGGGTGGGTGTTTCTTGAGGGAGTTTTTATAATGACTAACAAAGTATGCAGCGTTGCGACAATGAAATAATGCTTTTGAAGTAGGGAGTGGTGAAGATTGAACCTAGGCTCCAAGCCCAGCTCTGCTGTTGACGAGAAGTAGGCAAAGCCTTATCTGTTAGAACCTCGGCTTACCTGTCTGTAGAGAGGGGCGAATGATGTCAGCTCCTATGATTGCTGTGAGGATCAAAGCCAGAAGCTACCGCTTAGTGCGCAGTAAGTGACAGGCAGTAAAACGGAAGAAGACCTAGAATGGAATATATGCCCAGAACTGGGAGGCGTGGGAGCGGGCTCACCCCCACCTGCTGAAAGGGGTGGGGCTGGAAGCGTTCTGGGGCCGGGGGGCAAGTGCATCAGTGGCCTCAGAAACTCATCATTCCTTAGATGCAGTGATTAAGTCTTAGAGATCTACTGCAGGGACCAGTTAGAGCCAAAGGCAAGCGTTTATGTACAGGGAAGCCCAATAGCACTGTTTATAAAAGCAAAACATGAGCATCACAGCATAATTTTATTAAAAGAAAACACAACCACAGAGACGTAACATCCAACAGGAGTGTTTTCAATGTGTTACGGTACATCTTACAGGACAGAGTGTTATTCAGCTGTTCGTGAGCCTATTTTTTTTTCTTTAAAGATTTATTTATTTATTTATATAGAACTCTGGGGTACAGGCCAGAGATGCGGAGGGTGAGGGACTTCACCAGAGACAGAGCGGGGAGCAGAACAGGC